TGAATAATAATCTATTAAGAACGCTTGGCCTGATACTAATTATGTGAAAACAGATTTTCCTGGCAATGTGCTAGTATATATGCTGGTTTGTAGGCTTTTCCTATAACTTATTCACTGAGTTCGGTCTTTTTCTCTTTGATCCCGTTTTTAAAATATGGTTCCATGCTATTTTGAAAAAATAATTTTAGCAGAAGACATCTAATTGGTTCTCTTTTTACATTAGTCCCTTTCTAGCTCTTTTAGAGAAATATTATACAAATGGGAAGCAAGCTTCTTTTGAAATGTTACAGAAGTCTTCAACCCAAGTACCAGTCTCACTGTGGATCTGATTTATCCTAGCAAAAGGATACAATGGCCTCCTAAGAAGAGTAACTCTGCTGTAGACTGTTTTAGTGCTTCCTGTGCTAAAACTTTATAGATAGCTTATTTTCCCCCTTTGCCTCTTCTCATTATAGTCTTTAAAGATAATCACTGCTTTCTGAAAATTTTCATTTTGAATATACTGTCTTTTCAGATCAGATTGACTTTGAATATGTGCTTATTCTGGTTTTTTAGAGTGTTTCGTAAAATTATTTGAATGAATGTTCGTGTTACATAGAAATAAGATGACTTTTAAATGTGTGCTCTTAAAAATAATCTTTTCAGTTTATAATTTTGAAAATTTTGGTTAGTATAATTCTATGTTTTTATTCCTTTCCTCTTTCTTTCTTTTAGTATGTATGTGTGTGTATCTTTATCTACATCTGTCTGTCATCTGCCTATACATATAAACACAAATATACATAACAGCTCTTAATTTTATAAATTCACTTCTAATGCTTAATTATTGCTTTGAAAATGATAAATGTTCAAGTCAGTTTAATTTATTTTGGCTTATATAAAAATAAAATTTGGGGGCCGGCCCAGTGGCACAAGCGGTTAAGTGCATGCGCTCTGCTGCGCCGGCCCAGGGTTCGCTGGTTCAGATCCCAGGCGCGCACCGACGCACTGCTTGTCAAGCCATGCTGTGGCAGCATCCCATATAAAGTGGAGGAAGATGTGCGTGGATGTTAGCCCAGGGCCAGTCTTCCTCAGCAAAAAGAGGAGGATTGGCAGATGTTAGCTCAGGGCCGATCTTCCTGGCAAAATAAATAAATAAATAAATAAAAATAAAATTTGGAGCCTATGTATGTCTTATTATCTATTTTCCAGATTGTCTTTATTTATATTGATGTTGACATACAGTAGTCCCCCCTTATGCACAGTTTTGCTTTCTGTGGTTTCAATGACCCTGCGGTCAGTTGCGGTCTAGAAGCAGATGATACTCCTTCTGATGTACCGTCAGAAGGTCAATAGTAGTCTGACACTACATCACAATGTCTATGTCATTCACCTCACTTCATCTCATCACGTAGGCATTTTATCATCTCACATCGTCACAAGAAGAAGGGTGAGTACAGTACAGTAAGATATTTTGAGAGAGAGAGAGACACCACATTCACATAACTTTTATTAGAGTATATTGTTATAATTGTTCTATTTTATTAATAGTTATGGTTAATCTCTTACTGTGCCTAATTTATAAGTTAAACTTCATCATAGATATGTATGTATAGGAAAAAACATAGTATATTTAGGGTTCAGTACTCTCCATGGTTTGAAACATCCACTGAGGGTCTTAGAATGTATGCCTTGCGGCTAAGGAGGGACTACTGTATGTTGCTTTTATACCCTACGTATTATATTATATCTATTCATGGTTTGTGTGTCACTTAGTAAATTTAATATAATTCACATTCTGTTGTTTGTATAATATTCTATTATTCTTACTCTTCATTCATTCATTCAATAAAAGTTTATTTAGTAATACTATGTGCCAGGCATTTTCCTACATGCTGGGAATACAGAAAGTCTCTGCTCTCGTGGAGTTTATATTCTTGTAACTGAAGAGGGAGTCATAAACATAGAACACTAAATAAATACATATAATTTTAGATACACATATGTACTATGAGGGAAATAAGTGCATGTGGTAAAAAGTGTTGAGGAGGAGAATACTTTAGCTAGGATGGCAGGAGGACACATCTTCAAAGAAGGGGCATTTGAATTGAGCTCTAAATAATTAGGAGGAAGAAAATCAACTTCTAGGCATCAGGACTAGCAAGGGCAGAGGTCTTTGGATCTGAATGAGTTTGGCATATTCAAAGAACAGAAAGAATTGCTGTGTGTGTTGAAGGGAGAGAGAGTGTGTGGCAGGAGGTGAGGTCTTTGAGATAATGCAGGGTCAAGATCGAGTGGGCCATTGTAAGGAGGTAGAGTTTTGTTATAGTTACAATGTGAAGAAATTGGGCACTTGAATGTTATGGTGATTAACACTGAGGAAATCACTCTTCCCGCTGTGTGGAAAATGAACAAGAGAAAAGGGGTGAGGGACTAGAAGAAGTTATTGCAGTAGTTATTAGGAAGTTATTGCAGTAGTCTCAGAAATTATGGTGGGTTAGGGCTTTTCACAGAAGAAATGATTAGAGGTAGGATGTTTTGGAGGAGCACTGCTAGAATGTGTGAATGGATTAGAAATAGTGTAATCAATAGTATCAGACGTATTTAAACATTAAATATTCTTTTAAGATATAATTCAGTTGGCATGCACTTTTCCATGGTAAAAATATACCATAATTTATTTAAAGTACACTTCTATTTTTGATTATTTAGTTTTTTTCTATTTTTTGCTGTCTTAAATAGCAATTTTTTGTCACTTTCTCACCTCACTGCCATTGTATATAAATAATGATTTGTGATAGCTCGCCAATTTGAAAGGTAGAAGATTATATCTTGCTATTTTAATTTGCTTATCTTTGATTACTAGCTCGGTTGAAATTTTAATGTGTATATTGATTGACCAGTTGTATTTTTTCAGTTGTGCATTATTTCTAGCCTTGTTTATTTGGGGATGTTGATATTTTCCTTATGGGTTTGAAAGGCCATATTAACTTCCTGTGATGATTTGAAAGTCCCAACATGATTTGGCCTTGAGATTATTTGATTACATCTTAATGGCAGTCTCCTCCCTGCCCTTTATGCTCTAGACCACTTCAGTCACTTCTCAATTAGGCCAACCTTTGTCTTGCCTGAGGGCCTTTGTACTTGTGATTCTCCAATTTCTGGATCCCTCTTCCTCCAGTCTTTACATGATTGACTGTGTCTCGTCATTCATCTTTCAGTGCAAATGTCACCTGCTTAGAGAAGCTGTTCCTAACTTCCTAACATAACATTCCCTCTCACTCTTTTCACATTTGGTTTGTTTGTTTTGTTTGTTTTTTTCTCTGTTTTGTTTTTTTCCCAGTCTTTTATGGTCTTCATAGCACTTACCACTGTCTGAAGTTATTCATTACATACTTGTTACCTGTCCTTTGCAATGAGAATGGAAGAACCATGAGGGCAGCTATCTGCTCTGATTTGTTTACTGCTGTGCCCTCTGGGGCTAGAATATTGTTGGGCATATAGTAGGTAATTAACGTATTTTGTGGAGTGGGTAATATAAGGATATTAACCATTTGTCCTGTATGCTTGTGTTTTTCCCTTTTATCAGTTGTCTTCATCTTTGTGGCATTTTTTATATGAAGAATTTTATATTTTCATGGAATCAAATCAATGAAGCTTTTTTCCCATATGACTTTTTCATTACTTTTAGAAGGAAAAGAAAAACTTTCCCATATTGAGATCTCTTCCATTTTCCTGCATTCTAGTTAAAATGTTTCTGAATATAAAATTATCATTTATTTTTATGTTAAGGAAAGTTTTGATGATAAAAATAGCTCTTATGAATGTATTTCTATGCTCCTAGTCTTATTACACATTTATTTATAGCGATCATACTGTATATAGAGCTTTTTATCTTTTTTCACTTAATATTGTATCATGTGCGTATTTAGATGACATATGTTCTTCATTCTTCACAAACATGATTTCTTTGTTGTCTACAGAATATCCCATCTTAGGCATTTGTTATATATTTAATCCCTTATTGTATACTTGTTTCAATCTTTTTTAATGTAAATAACACAGTGCATATTATTAAGGTTTTGTGTTCATTTATGATTGTTCTATTATGATAAATTACTAAACGTAGAATAGTGGATTTACTGGGTCATAGGAGTACTTGGAGCATTTTAAGACACTGAATATTCATTGCCAAATTATACTTCAGAAAACTTAAATCAGTTTACACTCCTAGTAGTAGTGTAAGCATGTGTCTGTTTCTCAGAAAATTTCCCAATTCCCGATAATTATGTGCTTTTAAAATTTTGTCCCATTCCTCCTCATCTGTGTCCCCACCAAAAAAAAAAAATTATGTAAAGCAATTATGATGTTTTTCATGTACAAAATTTAAAAAATTTTATGTGGTCAACTGTATCATCTTTTCCCTTTTCTCTTCATATCTGTAGAACTTTCCTCATTCTGAGGTTATATATGCTTACTTATGGTTTGATCTAATTTTTCATGTTGTACCTCTCATTATATAGAATTTATTTTATGATATTTGGGAGGAAAAGTTCTCACTCTGTTTTCTCTAGTTATGCCAGCCATATCATTTTTGAGTGATCTTATATACTATTTTCGTGCTAAATTTTTATATATTCCAGAGTTTGGGGAGGAGGATTATTTATTCTGGCCCATTGTTATATTAATTCTTTTTTAGTTATTGTTGCTTTGTAATATCTCTTTATTTTGAGTTATCTGCTAGGGTAATAATTTTCTTATTCTATTATTCTTTATTTTTAAAACTATCCTGGTTTATTACGTTTCTTTTTCCTTATGAACTTAGAGTCATTTTGGCAATTCCTGTTTTTAATTTTAGTGAAATTGTATTAAAACTGTTAACTTGTTTGCACAAGGTATCCTTATAATATCTAGGATTTCATATATGAACTGAGATTATTTTTTCTTTTCTGTCTCAGTAAAGCTTTTTTCTGTATAGATGTACAACACAATTCATTTAAGATGATTCCTAGTTTAAGATTATTCCTAGTTGCTCTTGTAAATCTTTTTTTCATTTATATGTTGAACTGATTATTATAGTTCTATAGTGTATTAGTTTTCTGTGGTCACTGTAACAATCACCACAGATTTTGTGTTTTAAAACAGCACAAATTTATTCTCTTACAGTTCTGGAGACCAGAAGTCCAAAATCAGATTTTCTGGGCTAAAGTTAAGGTATTAATAGGGCTGGTTCATTTTGGAGGCTATAGGGGAGAATCCCTTTCCTTCCTTGTCTAGTTTCTGGATGCTGTCTGCTTTCCTTGGCTTATGACCCCTTCCTTGTGTCACTCCTACCTCTTGCTTCTGTCATCACATCTACAGCCACCTTTGACCTTCTTGTCTCTCTCTTATAAGGACTCTTTTGATTATATTTACAGCCCACTTGAATAATCTAGGATAATCTCCCCATCTTAAAATCTTTAATCACGTCTGCAAGTCCCCTTTGCCATATAAGGGAATATTCACAGATTCTAGGGATTAGGGTGTGGATATTATTTGAGAGGCCATTACTCAGCCTACCACATATAGGAAAATTGCTAGTTTCCTGTACTATTTTACTTTTGTCGATTTCATTGAACTTTTATATTAAGTATGGTTGCATTTAGTTCATTTTCTAGACAGTCACAAAGTTGACAAGTGATCATAATTTTTTCTCTATTTTACAGTAGTAACTTTATACCCCTGTTTCTGTTTCTATCTTGTTACTGCTTTCAATTTTTAATGCAGATGCCCCAAATATTTTCCTTTTATTTATCATATTTACTATTGGTTTAGGATAGGTATTTTTTTCTAATCATAGGAAAGCAATTTATTCATTGTTCATTATCTACCTCTCCCTCATTCCTTTGACATATTTGTGTTATATTTATGTACAACCAAATATTAACCCACACTTGCATTTCTGGATTAAGCTGTGTTTGACTATAGTATATCATTTTTTTCAATACATTGCTGGATTTAATTTACCAGTACTCTATGGTTTTTTTAAATGTTTATATTAATAAATGTGATTCATTATGTGTAGTTGGTTTTGTGTACTTCCTTTTCCATTTGGAGTATCAGAGTTATGCTAGGTAATAAAATGAATTTAAAGATGTTCTGTTTTTCTCTAGAATAGTTAGATTGGGTAATAGTTAGACTAGAGTAATATGGAGCAGAATAGTTTTTTTTTTTTTTTTTTGTGAGGAAGATCAGCCCAGAGCTAACATCCATGCCAATCCTCCTCTTGTTGCTGAGGAAGACTGGCCCTGGGCTAACATCTGTGCTCATCTTCCTCCACTTTATATGGGACGACGCCACAGCATGGCCTGACAAGCGGTGCATCGGTGCGCGCCCGGGATCCGAACCCAGGCTGCCAGCAGCGGAGCATGTGCACTTAACCGCTAGGCCACGAGACCGGCTCCTAGAGTGGAATAGTTTTTATAGCATGAAAATTGTCTCTTCATTTAAAGTTTGAAAGATCACATAAAGAAATCTGAGCTCAGAGTTTATTTGAATATAATTCTTTGATAGACTTTTAAATTTCTTTGGTTATTTTTTTTTAATCAATTTTGAAAAGTTACATTGTTCCCAGTGATTTGTCTATTTTATCAAGTTTTAAAGGAACATTTATTGCATGCTTACTATGTTTTAAGCGTTCTGCTAGGTGTTATACATGCAAAAATAAAGACTATAGGATTCTTAATACCAGGAAGCGTATAGTAGTGAGGAGAAAGTTAATTTTGCTGGGAGGAAGACAGAAGAAGTAGAAAAGAAGAAATTAACACTTAAACAGAAATTCTGATAAGGAGTTCGTCATGAATGCAGACAGCAGGAACCAAAGCATAAAATTGGTTGAATACGAGAAGAATTGAGAGAATTGCAAGTAGATCATTTCAACTGGATTTTAGGTCTGATCAGGAAGGAATAATGGGTAGGGATTAGAAGCTGTACTGTAGATTCTTCTTGAATTTGTACCTTTTTCTATAGATGTTGATAGGCTGTTAAGAATTTTAATTTTGGGTGTATCGTCAACAGATTCGTATTTTTAGTAGATGTGTCCGATGGCAGCATGGAGGACTTCTACTGAAGGCAGTGAGATGGTTAGAAATAGGTTAGCCGTTGCATTAGCACAAAAGAAACGTAAATGGCTCCTGAACTAGGGATATAAGTAGAGATGGAAAGGAAGAAAAGAATATAGATGAAAAAGTGCTAACAAAATAGAATCACCAATGACTTGTTCACTGGTTGGATGTAGCAGATGAGAGAAAGGTTAAGGCAGCTCCCAGCTTTGACAAGTGTATTTGGGGTTGAAGGAAATGTTTGCTTTATCTTTATTTTAGAAGCTGTAGCTCTGAATTCATTTGAAAGGCTTATTCTATTCTAGATAGGCTGTCATTTACATGAAAAGTTGGAAAAATGTGTGAATTATAGATATTTTATTAAAAAACAAGAAACCAAGGTTGTCTGCTATAGACAATATATACACTAATTAGCCAAGAGAGAAGGAATAGACATTCTAATAAGATTTCTGAACCAATATAGTATGAAGGGTGATCTAAAATGAAAATTATATTTTATTTAGTAATCTTTTTTTTTTTTTTTTTTTTTTTTTGAGGAAGAGTCCCCTTGAGCTAATCTGTCAGTAATCTTCTTCTATTTTGTATCTGTGCTGCCACCACAGCATGGCCACTGATAGATGAGTGGTGTAGGCCCACACCCGGGAACCAAACCTGGGCCGCAGAAGTGGAGCGTGCTGAACTTAACCACTAGGCCACCAGGGTTGGCCCTGGGGTAATTTTTAGTAAATCTTTATCTGGAAAAATGAAATAAAGAATTCTATAGTAAGGGAGTTTAGATGTAATGTTTGAAATTTGTTTGAAGTAATTTCTCAGCAAATGTGTGCCAGGCACATAAGATATGGATATCAAAATGAAATATCTTCTTTCCTCAAAAGATATGAAAGGCTTGTAGGACATGTTTAAGGCTGATTTCAAGGTTTCTCCCCACTTGTCTTACATATATGAGTAATATATGCCATGTAAATGCCAACACAGTCAAGATATGGTATATTTCCATCGTGCCAAAAATTCCATCATGCCCCTTGCCAGACCGTCTTCCCCTTCCTCCTCTCACCCCCACCGTCCTTTCCCCTTCACTCCTGCCACTGACAATCACTGATCTGTTTTCTGTCACTGTAGATTCAATTTTACTTTTCTAGGATTTTATTTAAATGAAATCATGTATTATGTAGCCTGGTGTCTGGCCTCTTTTGCTCTGCATAATGTTTTTGAAATTCATCTTGTTGCATGTGTAGCTAATTTATTCCTTTTTGTTGTTGAGGAGTAGTCATTGACTCAATATGTAGTTTTTCTAATCCATTCACCTATTGTTGGACATTTAAGATGTTTTCAGCTTTTGACTATTAGAAATAAAGTTGCTATGAACATTTGAGTTCAAGTTTTTGTTCAGACACATGTTTTCATTTCTCTTGAGTAAATACTTAGGAATGGAATACCTAGGTCATATGGCATATTAAACTTTATAAGAAACTGCCAGACTATTTTCCAAAGGGGTTGTACTATTTTACATTCCTCCCATCAGTGCATGAGCATTTCATTTGGTCCACATCCTCACCAGTACCTGGTGGTATTAGTCTTTTTAAACTTTAGCCTTTTAAACTTTTAAACTTATAGTTTGTGTGTAGTTGTATCTCATTGTAGTTTTAATTTGCATTTCCTGCTGAGTTTTCTTGTGCTTACTGACTATTGCTATATTTTCTTTTGTCAATTGTCTCTTCAAATCTTTTGCCCATTTGTATTGGGTTGTTGGTATTCTTATTATTAAGTTATAAGAGTTCTTTACATATTCTGGGTACAAGTCGTTTGTCAGATACATGTGTTGTGAATATTTTCTCCCATGTGATGGCTTGCTTTTTCATTTACTTATATGTGTCCTTCAAGGAGCAGAAAATTTTAATTTTCATGAATTCCAGTTTATAAATATTTTCTTTTGTTTCTCGCATTTTCTGCCTTAAGAAACTTTTGCAAATGTCAAGTTTTCCCCTACAGATTTTGTAGTTTAATTTTTGTGGTTAGGTCTACGATCCATTTTGAGTTAATTATTGATTGTGGTGTAAAAACAAGTTTGATCCATAAATATATATAATTAAGAGAAGTCTGAAATCTTCACACATTTGGAGGACTTTTAATATGGAGAAAAGAATAGACGGATTTTCTCCTGAAGTTAAAGGTAGGTTTGATTTTGAGTTAATTGTTGACCATGGTGTAAAAACAAGTTTGATCAATAAATATGTATAATTAAGAGAAGTCTGAAATCTTCACACATTTGAAGGACTTTTAATATAGAGAAAAGAGTAGACAGATTTTCTCCTGAAGTTAAAGTTAGGTTTGGTATTGGTTTGTGTAAGAAATACTGTTCTAACTTCTATACCCGTCCAACAAATGAAAAGATGCTTTGTAAATTAATGAATTTCCTGTTAGTATTGGTGTTTGATAGAGATTACTAACATTCTATATGAAATGAATTTGTACATATAAATACCTTATCACAGTACTTGTCAGGTATAAAATATTCAGTAAATGCTGCTGGTCATTACTGTTGTTATTGCTAATGTTGTATTTGTTATTATTGTATTCAGAATTCTTGCCTTGAGGAAGTTTAGAGAAGATGATATTTACATGAAACAGGTTTGGATTCTGTTATTTATTTACTTAACACATTGTGGTCGTACTTTTTATGTTGGGTTTTTTAATGCCCCACCCCCAATAGAGAGCTTAATTGTTAATGGGTACCAATAAATAAATACTAGGAAGCAGTCTTTTTGTTTTTTTGGTGAGGAAGATTGGCCCTGAGCTAACATCTGTGCCCTTCTTCCTCTATTGTGTATGTGGGATGCTGCCACAGCATGGCTTGATGAGCAGTGCATAGGTCCGTGCCCGGGATCCAAACCCACAAATGCCAGGCCGCTCAAACAGAGTGCACGAACTTAACTATTACACCACTGGGCCAGTCCCCAAGAAACAGTCTTTTTAAGATCATTTTAATCATCTCTTTTAATTGCATGGGTAATTTGTGAATACTTTTTTTTGAAAAGTTCAAATAATATTGATGTAGTGAAAGTGACTTCTTACCTACTCCTCCACTCTTCTGCCAGAGGTAACTATTAGAGATTTGATGTATTTGCTTTCTGATTATTTTCTATATATTTATACTGATATATGTTCATATATAAATGTATATACCCATTTGCAGGTTTTTTTAGTATAAGGCTAAAATGAACATATTTTACTTTGCTTTTTTTTTTTTTTTTTGTGAGGAAGATCCGCCCTGAGCTAACATGCGTGCCAATCCTCCTGTTTTTGCTGAGGAAGACTGGCTCTGAGCTAACATCCTTTGCCAATCCTCCTCCTGTTTTTCCCCCAAAGCCCCAGTAGATAGTTGTATGTCAAAGTTGCACACTCTTCTAGTTGCTGTACGTGGGACGCGGCCTCAGCCTGGCCGGACAAGCGGTGCGTTGGTGCGCGCCCGGGATCCGAACCCAGGCCGCCAGTAGCAGAGCGCACGCACTGAACTGCTAAGCCACGGGGCCGGCCCCTTTACTTGCTTTTTTTATCTTACCATGTCTGATAAGTCTTTCCATGTTGATACCTTTATTCATGTTTACTGCTGCATAGTGTTTAATAGAATGAACATACCCTAGTTTATTTTTCTTTCCAACATGCAACAGGCAGACATAGCAAGGCCAACACCTGACTAAAAAATAGGCTGGTAAAAATAAAATGAGCTACTTTTAGATTCAGTTTATTACTTACATAGATAACAAAAGGATGAGAAGCCAAAGATGCTACATTCCTAGGTCCTTGTCCCACACACTAAAGGGACAGCATGAAAACAAAAGACGCTGGGTGACCGCAGTGTGAATTATGGGATACCCCATTACTGAGGAGCCAATTCTAGACCCCAGGTAAATACTTTTATAGTTCAACTATACCCTGAGGGGTTGAGGGTCATGCAGAATCAGGCAGGAAACCTCATAGCTCATCAGAACCTGGGAGGCTATGAGAAACTGTCTCATGATAGCCTCCCTGAGAGATAGGGAGGTCAGTGGGGGATGGCCTCACAGCAGCTCCTCACAAGTCTCCTGTTCTCTCATATTCCAGAAGGATCACAAAGCATTCTGCCAAGATGCAGATTAGCTGCATTTCATTACCTGCGTGGGCTGTCAGTGTACATTCACGGTTGCCAGGGCATTATGATGGAGCCATTCCCCTACAACTCGAACCTTCAGCCTTTCACAAATCCACATAACAAATCTCAAGAGCATAACCACTTCATCAGATACTTTACTTAATTATCCTTATGGGGGCTTAGATCAAATATGACTCCCAGTAGGGTGATCAGGTGCACTTGGAGGATAGACCTCAGCCAAGCTCCTCATCTGTAGCCAAACCAGTGAAATATGTCATTAATCCAAATGCAGCAGGAGGTGTTGGCAATCACACATAGACCACTTTGGCCAGCAGGGAGTTCAGGGCAATGCAATTTTTCATCACCACTCGGTCTAGAAAGTTTAGAATAATAATCTGAAAAAAATGCAAAAGATTTTGTCTTCCCTTAAGTAGCCGAAGGAGACCACAGGGTACTAACAACAATAGGACTAAGCTAAATAGAATCGTAACAATGTCCAGCAAGTTAATCTTATTTCTGCTGCCTGTTTACTCCTGGAGTCGTTAGCTTCTGGGAAGTTTCTGAGAGTTCGTAGATTAAGATTCTTCAGTGATCAGTGGTCAAGCTGGAAGTGATGGCTGTAGTCTGGGTGGCATTGGCCAGGTGCTCTGTGTATAAGAGCTGAGAGAGATTAGTTTCCTGTCTCCACCCCTGGCTTGCTGGTGTCTAAGGTGTTCTCTTTTCCACAGCTGAGGTTGTTGGTTTCCTTCCACAGCCATGTGATTCTGTCTGTGCAGCATGATCAGTCCCTTCAGCAGTTGCTTCACCCTTTTTCTGATTCTCCCTTTGTCTTACCCACACCATGTGGTCTGGACTTAACCCTAGGTGGCTCACCAGAAAGGTATCTAATACAGTCAATGCTCAGCAGTATCCTTAAGAGGAGGGAGGGAGGCCTAAAGAGTCTATTTGGCAGGACTAGACAGATCTGGTACCCTAGCTATGTGCTTAGAGTTCCCTTTTCTACTTGACTGTGAACCTGGCTGTCTGGACATGTTTGTCAGGCTTCCTTGGCCTCGTGTGCTGGAATCACTAGGTTTTGATTTTTGGCCCTGTCCTGAATTATAGATGGGTCACCATGCCCTGGACAATGGTGTGTCCAGGTGGCTCTGGTTCTTACCTAGGCAGTGCAGGTCTGATCAGCTTGTCGATTCTATTGATGTTCATCCTCACAGGGTCCTATCCTGTGGGCATCCACATACATCATGAACAGAAAGTGTGGGTGTCTTGTACAATCTGCAGCCATAGTGTTTATCTCCACAGAAACTGGGATTTGATTATCTAATTGTCCCACTGCCAGGCCCCAGAATCATTGAAAATGTAATAAATTTTGGAGGGTGTGTTCCAGGGTAGGCACCACAGCTCATGACTTTACCCACTGAACAGAGTTTCCTTTTCCATACACTATGTATGTTAAACAGTTTTCTTTAGGACTGCACAGTTGCAGTGGCCCAGGCAGCCCATCCGATTTTAACATACTTGATTCTTCTGTGAACCAGACCTAGACATCCTTAGGAACCTCAAAGGACTGAAGCCCCCACAGGCTTCTAGTCCAGGGTTCTAGTACAGACTCTGCATCTGGGATAGCCATGTTTTGGGGGTGACTCGCCACTTTTTCATGTAGCTGATATGTCTCTGATTTTCTTTCATAAAAAATCTATGGTCTGTAGATTTGCATTTGCATTTGCAAGAGCAAATTGTCCTAAAAGTAGATCTGCCCATAAATTATTTTAGCTCTCTTAAAGGCAGCAGGTATTGTTGAAAAATAATGACAAGTTGCTTTTATTTTTGTTTGCCTGGATTCTAAATTCAGGACAAACCTTAAACATACAGTTTCACCATCCAATATTAGTGTTAGTTTCAAATACAATGTAGCTAATTACAAAGGAATAGAAGAATAACTCCTTATATGGTTCATTTGCTAATAAAGTGAGTAAGCATATATATTTTTCTAGTATTAAAAATAGAACAAATTTAAATAATGAGAATTTTTTAATTTCTTTAAGAATTTTATAAATAGTGCTAAAGCTGTTAAATAAATATAGATGTTTTTGGTCTAGTTTTATAGTTATCTCAGCTTAAAAATTATGCCAAGAATTTTTTTTACTTCCTCCTTTTAAAAGACATGAAGTGTTTATGCACGTTTTTAAGCAACACCCAACTTTGAAATTGTAAGAAGAATGACTGAATATGAAAGTAACTGATCCAAATTTGTTATACTTTTGGAATTCAGTAATTGATGAAAAACAGAACCATGTTAGTCATCAATAAACCCCACCCAGTTTGTAGAGTTAAAAATATATTCTCACATTTAATATTTCTCAAATTTGAGTTGTTTACTGAGCATATTTGGGTTGATTTCTCAATTAATATTGTCAAAAGAGTTTAATCTCTCATTTATTAGCATATTGAGAGAATTTCATTTTGAGTATATAATAAATATAGCCAGCAACTAGTTCTTTAAAATTGAACTTGAACTTAAAAATCAAACAATAGGAAAAGAAAGTAAGAATTGTATAGTATTTCTGGTATATAATATAATGTAAACTAAAACTACCAGGTGGAAAGAATGTTGTCTTATAATTTAAACTTCTTTAATAACACTTTGGATTTTAGAATCTCAAGTTAAAGAAGGTGTATTATTGTCCATAATACTACCATATTCAAATGAACCCTGAGTCCCTCCAGAACAAATATGTTAACATTTTTCTTTATAGGCTAGAGAGCAGAAAAAGAGTGGAGACCAAAAATGCTGGAGAAGCAATGAGGGAGGCAGATTTAAGAGATGAGATGGCTAAGAGATTTGTAAGAGGAACATACCATCGTGACCTTGAGAGAGAGAGCTGTAGACCACTTGAATATTAGGGGTTTCCTGGTGCATGTTAATCCAGTAATAAAAATATAAAATTACTAAAATGGAAGCCCATGGATCTGTGTTTTTTAATAAAAAAAATAACTCGTAATTGTTTTAAATATACGTTCCCATTAATGATTTGTGTTGCTGTCTATGAGATATATACAATTTTATGAATTAGCTATCATAATTTTATCCTAGGTCATTGTTAATCAGCTATACATTTACTGATAGATGCAAAATCGTTAAGGTAGTGTGAGAAGGATGTAGAAAATGTGGACTTTCTATAAGCAAGCATGATACTATGATGGGAGAATGTGATTTCATTTTCTAATAATTTCACAAATAACTTTCAGACATGTAACTGTTATATGAAGTATGTCATAGTCATTTAGCTTAAATGTGATGAGACAAGTGTTTTTACAAAGATCGTCACAGGTCCTTTCTGAATATTTTTTATTTTTTTCTTCATTGTAAGTATAGTCATAGGGCATATGAATCTTAAAATAAGGCAGTAAATGTCTAAAGAATCTTCTTTTTTGTATGAGAAATGGAAGAAAAGTTAGCAAAGTTATTTGTTGACTATAGAAAAAAGCTCTTGTAGGAATTGGCCACATCTGTTTTATTGTTTGCTGCTGAGACATCCAACACAAAATAAGTTGGCTGATAACAATTGCTAATGTAAAACAGACAGATGTTTTTCTCATTACATAGTGCTGGACAGATGTATTTTGATAAAAAATTGAAATTTTTAACAAAATTAAGCTGGTCTCGGTCCTCAGAATTTGAATGTGTTACTTTGAAATCAAGTATGTGTTAACTCGTGTAAATATTTTATCTTTCCCAAAATGTGCATGTGAAATGATTTTTTTTGTATACATTATACTTTCAAGTACATGTGGGACTAATTGCAGCTAATTACATTTTGGGTAGTAATATTTTTGATACCAGTATAACTATTAATGTACTACTCAGGTTCTAGTAACCCTTCTACACTGTAAAATACTTTGTTTTATGGGTTTTTTAAAATATTTCCTCTAAATTCAAATTTTCACCTTTTACGCAATGATTACTGAAGTTATGCCCTTGAGTGTCTTCTTGGTTCTATCATATATGCAAAGACACCTTAAAGAAAACATTTTCACTTCATTGATTCCTTCATATTTTGCATGGGAAGAAATGTGTTCCAAATACACCTTGAAGAACTTATTGGATATTCTGGGACATTCTTTATTATTATTCCAGAAGTGATCTATGACGACTAGGTCATGTTGGCTGCTTTGGTAAGTTGATTGAAGAAAGTCATCTACATCCTCCTGTGATTTGACAGATGTAAAATATGTGATGTCATTTTAATATTGAGTGTCATTAATATTACTAATATTTATGTTGAGTGAAACCTTACTGGTGCATGTCCTTTGAGTCATTTTTATGGTGGACTTATGTTGGTTCATCTGAACTCAAAGAAAATCCCTTTGACAACACCAACAAATACAGGTGAAGGTCTTCCTGCGTGGTGGCTTCTAGTCACCATTCAAGAAACAGTTGGTCTTATTCTCCAAAGATACTTGATCCTGCAGGCACTAGATCCACAAATAGACTGCTTTCCACCATGTTCTAGCTAATTGAACTGTGATCACTAGGCTTTAGACAGCCTCCTTGCTATTTTTTGGAGACTGTTGTATTTATACCAGGGGTTGGTAGACTTTGTTCTCTGAGTCAAATCTGGCCTACTTTCTTATTTTGCCCAGCCCACAAGCTAAGAATGATTTGAAAAACTTAAGTGGTTGAAAAAAAATTTAAAAAGAATTATATTTCAAGAGACTTGAAAATTATATGAAATTCAAATTCCAATGTTTTAAATAAAAAAATTATTAGAACAAAACCATGCTGCATTGTCTCTGGCTGTTTTCA